GATTCATACAGTGTTTGTGCTTTTGTGGCTGGCTTATGTCAATTAGCATAATGTCTTTAAGGTTTATCCATGTTGTAGCATGTCTGAATTTCCCTTTTTAAGGCTGAATAATGTTCCATTTTATGGATATACCACAACTTGCTTATCCATTTATCCATCAAAGGACACTGATTGCTTTCCCTCTTGGTTATTGTGAATAATGCTGCTGTGAAGATGGATGTATAAATATGTCTTCAAGACTCTGCTTTTAAATCTTTTGTATATATACCCAGAAGTGGAATTGCTGGATCCTAGGTAATTCTATTTTTAATTTTTTGAGGAACCACCATACTGTTTTCCATGGTGGCTGCACCATTTTACATTCCTACTAGCAATGGATAAGTGTTCCAATTTCTCTATATCCCACCAGTACTGTTCTTTTCTTTTTTCTTCTTTTGATAGTATTCATCCTAATAAATGTGAGATGATATCTCATTCTGGTTTTAACTTGCATTTCCTTGATAGTTTAATGATGTTGAGCATTTTTTCATATGCTTGTTGGCCATTTTGTATGTCTTCTTTGGAGAAATGTCTGTTGAAGTCCTTTGCCCATTTTTTAATTGAATTTTTTCCTATTTTTGCCATTGAATTTTAGGAGTTCTCTATATGTTCTGGACATTAATCCCCTAGAGAGGCAGCAAACCACAGTATTTAATGCCTTGGGCTCTGGCTCCAGATACCTAGACTCTACCAGGCAGCTGTATGGTTTTGGGCAACTTTTTAAACATCTCTGTATGCCTCAGTTTCCCTCTCATGGTAAAATGAGGATGTCAGAAGTATTTACCTCAGAGGGCCAGGTGAGATTATAGAATGGCCTGGACGGGACTGCCTGCAGGTTTTGAGATCCTCGAGAGCATGTCATGAGCAGGAGAGGTGAGGGTCTGGCCTTGGAAAGGCAGAGCTCCATAGACATCCCCCAGCATGGCTCTGACTCTCCTAGGCGTGGCTGGCTGGCACCTCTAAGGGCTGGCCTGCCACAGATGCCCCAGGAGGCTCCAGGTGGAGATGGCAGGACTGATGAGGTCTAGGCTCCCGCTGCTGTTCTCATTATACTTAGAAATATCTGCTCTTTTAAAGTTCACAAGGCTCCTAGTGGTGCTAATTGGTCACTGTCCTCTGATGTCTGCCATACTACAAGCCTCAGTCTTAGCACTAGCCATGGTCTCAGCATTTCTTACAGCCTTTGGAGCAGTGGCATCTGCACCACTCAAGGCTGGGCCCACAGCTCCAATTGTCCTGTCTTGTTTCTTGAGGCTCGCCTGTGAGGCACTTCTCATAGCCAGATGGTCAAGAAACCCACCTTTTTGCAACTGCTTCCCTCCCAGACCCTCAGCCTATGGAAAAAGGTGGCACATTCTCAGCCACAGCATGGGGAGTCTCTGGCTTATCACACATGGCAGCCACCAAGCCCGGGAAGGGTGTGGGTGTGCCAGCATGGGCCTGAGTGCACATGCATGGAAGGACCAGTTGGAGCACTTTCAGTCCTTACCTGTGTTCTCAGCACCTGCCTTTTTAGCCCACTCTGTCTAGTCGTTTTCTGGAGTCCTTTCTTGAAGATGAAGGTGGGAGTGATCAGGTCTGCCCTGTCCAGGCTATTGGAGAATAATAACTTGCAGGCTTCCTCTTCAGGTCTCTGAGTGCACTCCACTGCTGGGTCTGGCTCCTTCAGAGGTCATCCAGTACCAAGCTGTGTCAGGGCTTGTCTTGTGAACTCTTGGAATGAAAGCTCAGAGCAGACCAGGGCTGCGATTGCATGTGTTTGGGACAGCTTTGAGCACACTGCAGTGCTCCAAGAGTGCAGTCCGCAGCTACTTGGCTGTTGCTATAGAGCTCTGGCTCTTAGGTGTGGGCCTGGAAGTAACTAAGGGGCTCAGGGACCAGGCCAGAGCTGCTAGCATGGCCTGTTGTGGTAGCCTTTGTTGTTTTGGAATTCAGTAAGTACTGGAGATGAAATAGCATGAGGTGTGATCTTCAAATTTTCCTAGGTTTCTACTTGCTCCCTAAGACAAAATAGGGTGCTTATACCGGTTTGCTGGTGGCCTGGCACAGCTGTGTCTCCCACTAGCACGTAATGACCAGTGAGAAGGGAGCACATTTCCCCTGGCCTGTGGCAGCTCTTGCGTGATTGGACTGTGAGGCCTGGCTCCAGAAGTGAGGGAAGCGGGTGCCACCAGGACCAGTGCTGGCATTGCCTTTTGATTTCCACACATGGATGTGAGCCCTGGCAAGACTTTCAGCTCTTAAGCAACCACTGCCCACACTTGCTACCTTGTAGTTCTAGAGCCGGTAACTCTTGTCCTAGTGCCCATACCACCTTTCCTTGGGTGACAGCGATAGAGCATCCTTGACTAAGAGACTCTTTGGCAACAGCAATTGCTCGTGCTCAATCCATTGTCACGCCATCTAAATTTGTCACTGAACAAATATTACTGAGCTACCACTCACCAGTGAACAGCTATTTGGACATCAAGCACGTACCATGGAAGGAGGATCAGCAAAAAGAGATGCCGAGAAGGCCGACTCTCCGTGGACATTGATGCAGCACAAATGTATGGGGGCGAAGCTTTTTGGAAGCAGAAGCATGATGAGGGAAGCAGTGTGTCGCAGACAACCACTGGCCCTACCCAGCTTTCAGTCAGCAGAAAAGCCAGGGCATGCATCCCGTGTCCAGGCTGATCCATGGGATGGGGAGATGGCTGGATGTACTAGTATATCCTAGTAGCCCCTGTGACTCAGAGCTGTTGTCATGAATAGCCTTTACAAACATGTATCCCCGGAAGGTGTCAAGCTCTTATCCAGTAGACCTCTGTGTAAATGCCCAGGTGACCTATGGGCTCAGTCATTCTAGGGACGATTGCTTAGTCCCACTTTTATACTTTCATCTAGTTAATGTCACTTGGACAGTGTTCCAGCAGTTTATACTTTAAAACTTAGATCACTCCGCCCTCACTGTCAGGTGAGTGTACATGGTAGTATATTACTAGTATCTTTCCTAGGATCAGTAATTAGGGATATTGTTTGAATAACCAATATTTAAAAGTTTGAGTCTGTTGCTATTCTCCAGTGAATAGAAGCCAAGGCGATGTTGTGTGTGTTTTTTCTTTGTTTCCAGGCAAGCCAATATTTTCAGTTGATATTCACCCTGACGGGACCAAGTTCGCAACTGGAGGACAAGGTATGTTCATGGAATAACAGGAATGCTCACAGCCCTGCGCCTAGCTCTGCTTCTCCTGGTCACCCATTGAGCTATAGAAAGAATATTTGCTGTTTTCAGTATAGATGTGACTCAGTTTAAGTCTGAACAAGTCACATCAAAATCCTTTTTTGGCACTAGAGTGTGCTCTGTATAGATATTTCGATAGCAGGTTTACCTTTCTAATTTCTGTTTATTGGGTTGATATTAGAATAATTTGCATGTCTGAGCCCAAGCTTATTGAGCATGAAAAGTGGCAGGTAGTCTCCTGGACAAAGCTCCAGCCCCAGAGGCAAGGGCTCTTGGTCCTCATCTTGGTTCTGGCCGTGTTTTCTCATCTGTAAAGGGGGAGGAGATGGTTAACCTCTGGAGTCAGTCATGTGGTTATCAGGCCCATTCTCCAGGCTCAAAGCAATTCAAGTGGGTTAGAGCGGAAGTACGAATGTGCACACCATTTGAAAAGATGATCCAGGGTATTGTTGGTGTGTTTTACCCAGTGTCTGCTGCAATATTGCAGTAACAACTCTGGAAAGGCAAAGTACTTTTGAAGCCAGGACACCAAGATGTATATATGGTCACACAAAGTAGCATTCCCGCAGAGCCCAGTCCCCCGGCAGCTTCACTGCAGAGCACGGTCTCCCTCTGGCTGAGGCCTCCCTGGACAGGACTGGAGAGTGCCCCTGTGAGTTCCAGGTCTGCAAGTGCTGCAGAGCAGGTTGTCTGAAGACTTCCTGCTGCTGGGCTTACAGGGAAGCCTTGATCTCCTTCCAGCGTGCTGCCAGCTGCACCCGAGAGGTGCCCACAGGCGTCACCTAGGACCAGCGGACTTAGCTGGGGTAACAGAGTTTTCTCATCCACAAGAAGAGGCACACCTTCCTGACCTACTCGGCATAGTACACTCTAGAAGAGCTGATTTAAAAATATGTTTACACCCTAGCTGGTTTGGCTCGGTGGATAGAGCATCGGCCCCTCTATAACAGAAAGTTAAATGAGGGGCTAGATTTTGTTAGTTATCAGTAATGGAAATCTTAGAAAGAAAAATCATGACTGAAATGCATAGATATATTTTTTAGCCCAATACTACATCAGCCTATGACCACAGGCACCCGAAATGCCCTCTTTTGGTTGATCTCTCATCTGTTGATGGCAAAGAGCCGGTGAGATAATGAGGACCTTTTCTAGTGTTTAAGGCACATTTCAGACTGGGGTCTTAAAGCACCCATGTGAGAACAGCCATGGACTGCAGACTCACCTGAAAAGGGAGAGAAGCCCATGCAGAGACCTGAAAGGGTGTTGGGGCCTAGGCTTTTCCAGCCTCTTCATTTACAGACGGGGCCAGCGACCTGGAAGCAGTAGGGTTTGGGGGAAGGGTGTAAAAGACAACTTATGAAATGTCTCAGATGGCCCCTGTGTCACTTGGAGGCCCTCTACCAGGACCCTTTTGGTTACTGGGCAGGAATGAGGACCTTCTAGGGGGCGTCTGGTGGATCCGTGTTAGAGGCCAGACCAGAACTTGGTCCTCATTTGATTCTGATCTAGAGTTCTTTTCATAAAGTCAGGTTGGCCTCTGCATAGTACTAAATCCACACTTTTTGAGTCCCCATCAGCACTTGTTTTTCTTAATCTTTCCTGTAACTTATATTCGTAATTCAAATTCAGTCTCCCCCAATCTAATTAGTTATGATTTATGAAAGCTAAGTGAGGACTATGTCTCATAGTTAATAGTCTACTCCTTGTGCATTGAGTTATTTCTGCCCCTTCGTTCCAGGACAGGATTCTGGGAAGGTTGTGATCTGGAATATGTCTCCAGTCCTCCAGGAGGATGACGAGAAGGATGAAAATATTCCCAAGATGCTTTGCCAGATGGACAATCACTTAGGTATTACAGAGTGGCCCTTTGCAGGCTTTTCGTGTTGGCAGAGTGCCCAAGGTTAGCACATGTGTTTGTAATTAGAAAGATAAGGCCCCGTGCGGCGGTAACTCCCCTCGGCCTGCTGTCTGAAGGCACAGATGTTGGCTGCACACCTGGGTGAGTTATTCGGCAGAAGACTCGGCCCGCCCACAGAACCATCTTTGGACAGTCTGCAGGTACCTCTGGTGATTTCCTGCTCATGAGTCGTTACTGCCTGATTCCATGGGGCTTTGGGGCCAGCAACCTGGAAGCAGTAGGGTTCTGGGAAGGGTGTGTAAAAGACAACTTACAAAATGTCTCAGATTGCCACTGTGTCACTCAGACCCTCTACCAGGACCCTTTTGGTTGCTGGACAGTATGTGGTTTTCTTTCCTGCATTAGTGCCTTAGTTTCCCGCCCTGAGCATCAGGGTGACTGTACTTGGCTGCTTCCCCTGAAAAGCTCCAATAACGGTTACATCCCCTGCCTTTGCTCTGTTATGTTCTTGCTCTCCCAACATGTCTCTTGGCGTCCTCCAACTTGGAGCGCAAGTCACTCACAGCCTGGTGTGGGCCACAACTGGGATAGTGTCCCTCGTATTGCTGGGCTCCCAAAGGTTGAGCTGTGAGTGCTCCCAGAGGCTGCAGCACAACAGGATCCGAGAGGGATTTCTGTTGGTCTTAGTTTACGAGTGCAGGATCAATCGACTGCAGTGCTGATGAGTTTGGGAAATCCGAATTTAATTGCTGACAGGTGGAATGAAGTCAGAGTTTTATGTTTTACCCAAGCTGCTCCCTGAAAGCTCTGGAGAAGGCATCTTGGCCTATTTAGCACTTGTCTTCCGGTCAAGAGTTATCCCTCCTCAGAAATACATCTCATCATTAGACGGCCCTTTTTAAATAATGAGATTTAGGTATTCACCAGTTTTCATGGCAGTGAGCCTCCTCCTACTGACTACTTCATCCAGCACTAACACTTCTCAGGTTATGTAGCCTTTCACCCTCCAGGCTCTATTCCGGTCATTTGTTATTATAGCACAAGTAGATTAGTGCTTGAACTGAATTGTTTTTCTAGGGCTCTCACACAGTAGATGCCTTGAATAGATTAGATAGACTAGACTTTATAAACCCTTTGCATCTTGCCAAACTCTGCTTAAACAAATGACTATTGGATTTTCATCACCCTATTTTTTTTTCTTCCCAGCATGTGTGAACTGTGTGCGGTGGTCAAACAGTGGGATGTATTTAGCTTCTGGGGGAGATGACAAACTGATTATGGTGTGGAAGCGGGCTACGTAAGCATCATTTTCCTTTCTTCACATTTTATTTTTAGAAGCTTCTTTGCTGGTCTTTATCACAGTCACTTTCTTTACCCTGGCACTGAAGTCCCCAGAGTCCCAACTTCATAAGAAACAGGAAGTACACACAGGCCAGGAGCAGTTGGGGCCTGACCAGGGAGTCAGAAGGCCACCAACCTCCCTAGTGACCTGCTCAACTGTCCCTTGCCAGGCAACAAGGTTAAGGGCGAATCCCTTCCAATGCTGACATTGGTGGCTTCCTTTGTTTTGTTCTTCAAATGAGATTTCCCAACATGCAATGTGGTTAAAAGTCAAGGTGATCTGATGGAATCTGGGGAGGGGTCCAGAGCCCGCCCTCTTAGCCATTCACCTCATTTTCTGTCTGGCTCAACCCTGACCTCTAAGGAGTCCCCACTTGAAAGCCCTTTCTTTGCACCAATAGTGAGCTAACCATCACCTAGAAAACTCTTCTTCTTTACACCTAGGCAGCTTCTCTCGGGGTGGGCCCTGGGACTCTTCCATAACCAGCTCCCCAGGTGACTCGGGCCAGTCAAGCTGGGGACTCAGACCTACCCCACTGCTCAGCCAGAGTGGCCCTATGGCCGTGGCTTTGAGAGCAGAGGCACACTGTCCCACCCAGCTGCCCCAGCAAGGTCTTTCTGTGAGTTTGTGAAGAATTCTACAGGAGCGAAGGCTGTCAACAGAGGCATGTCAGTGGTGTAGGCACCACCTCCCTGGGAGCCCACGTGACTGCTTGAGTGCCAAAAGCTCATACCTGTGATTCAAGTGCTTTCTCTGCCTCAGGTGTTAAGGCCGAGGCCTTCAATTCTTTATAAGAGGGCTTAAAAACTACTGTTGATTCTGCTGCTTTAGCCAACATAAATAATATTAAGTATATAATTCGGAAAACTAAAAAAATATGAAAGAAAATATGATAATCCCACCACCTAAAGAAAGCTATGGTTGATATTTTGGTGTTATTTATGTGTGTCCTGATCCATTTCCATGCGTACATGTAATTTTTTCATTACATAGTGATATATTGTATATGCTGTCCTGTGACCTGCTTCTTTCACTTAATTTTATATTGTGAACATTTTCCCATGCAGTGGATAGTCTTTTACCACAAGCTTTGTGATAGCTGTGTAGTCTTTCATCAAGTGCAAATAATTTACCAGTCAGCTCCTGCAGTTCAGCAATTCAGTGCTTTCCAGCCATTGTCTGTTTTTGCTTTGTTCTGTCTGCCATGATAAGCCATGCTGCAGTGAGCATCTCTGTGCAGTGCCAGAGCCTCCCTGGAGTGCCTTTCTGATTCCTCTTTCACACAGGTACATCGGCCCCAGCACTGTCTTCGGCTCCAGTGGTAAGCTTGCCAACGTGGAGCAGTGGCGATGTGTCTCCATCCTCCGGAGTCACTCAGGCGGTGAGTGGGGCTGCCTGTTGGGTTGGGTGGCCCCAGCAGCTGTCTGAGACCAGCAGCAGTACCTTCAGCAGCTCTGTGTCTGGGTCACCCTTCCCCATCACCATCGGTCATACCCTGCCTGTCCCTCAAGGTCTGTGCAGTCATCGTCCCCACTGCCTGCCTCCAGCTGCATTCAGTGCCCCCACTCTTGCCCTCATGGGGTATATGTTTATATTTTTAATGTAGAACTCCCCACGTTCTGCTGTTTATCCTGGTGAACTGAGTCACTACCTTCATCAGTGGATCACTAAGTCCGTAAGCGCACTTTATTTATTCCACAGAAACTAGAATACAGGGGCCCAGTGAAGTTTTTTACTTGACCCTGAGTATGTTTGCAAAGTGTTGTAAATAGATTTAGAATGGAAAGATGGAAAGACACATTGTGCCAATTTGAACTGGAGAGGAGGAAGGTCAGTCAGTCAATAGCAGTCTAAAACCATGTGGTGTACACTTTGTTAGGCACGAGGGATGCCAGAGCAAATATCACTTAGTCTTACCTCAGAAAGCCTGTGGTCTAGCCCAGGAATATCCTGGAGGGTTTCCCAGGCAGGGAGAACAGCAGAAGTGAGAGGTTTGCTGTGAATGAGTAGGCAGCACTTCACTACTG